AACAATGTGGAATCATAGATTAGTAATTCACTGATTTATTTGAATATGGCTGGGCACAGTGCTGAGATTTGAACTCTTTAGGGACTCAGGCACTCTGCCACTCCAGCTGTACCCTCAGCCATTGTGCTTCAGTTTGTTTTTGTGCCAGTTCTGGGGTTGAACTTAGGGCCTAAGTGGTGTCTCTGAGATTTTTTTGTTCAAGGCTGGCACTCTACCATTTAAGCCATAGCTCCACTTCTAGCTTTTTTGCTTGTTAACTGGAAATAAGAGTCTCATGGATTTTACTGTCCAGGTTAGCTTCAAACATTGATCCTGGGATCTCAGCCTCTTAAGTAGCTATCTTAGATTATAGGTGTGAACCACCAGCGCCCAGCTTTTAGTTTGTTTTCAATAGCATCTCAAGTTTTTTCCTGGGCCAGCCTTGAATTCTCCTCTTCTTGAGTACCTAGGACTACAAGCATGAGCTATCATACTTAGTTGCTGCTTTTTCCTTTCTTTCTTTCTTGTTTTCCTCTTCTTTTTCAATAGTACAGTACTTCATTGCTTTCTGACATTCTGGATTCATCTATAACTTGCTTGCTATATTGCTCAGGCTGTTCTTGAACTCACAATCCTTCTTCCACAGCCTTCCCAATGCTAGGAATACAAGCAAGTGTCACCATGCTTAGTTGCTTTTTATTTTCTTTTTTCTCTTTTGTAAAATAGTACTTTATTGTTTTCTGACATTCCAGGCTCATCTGTAACTTTTAAGATGAAACCTGGAATGAGTTGAAGGAACCCTCTTACCATCTTAGTGAGAAAGATAAATAGAAATTCACCTCTACCAGACCTGGATCTGGTGCACATTTTCTGGTGTGACTTTTTCATTTTTGAAACTGCCATTTCAGAGTGTTGCTGTGTACGTTGTTGACACCAAATTATTAATACTGATTCCTTCTTTCTGAATTTATCTAATTAAGCAATAGCTTCTATAGAAAAACATTTGGTCACAGGTAACAGTGGAAGATCAAAAATGGACACACATTCTTTGCAGCCATGCTGATTAAGAGAGAGAGTTTAGCAAATGCCAGCAGCTCATGCCTATAATCCTAGAAACCCAGGAAGCCTGAAATCTCAGGATCCTGATTGAAAGCCAGCCTGGGAAGAAAGGAGCATGAGACTCCTATCTCCAGTTAACTACCAAAAAGCCAGAAGTGGAAATGAGCCTCAAGTAACAGAGTGCTAGTTATGATCAAAATAGCCTATTGAGAGCTTGAGGACCTGAGTTCAATCCATGTGCTGCTCCTTTCCCCCCACCAAAAAAAAAAAAAAAAAGAGAAAGAGGTAGAGTTTAACTACTACTTGGATCTAGGTTAGCATGATGCCTTGTTTTGATGAACACACATACAGATACATGAAGAAACATAGAAACAGACAAATAATGCTATATGAAGATCTCAAAAGACATGGTCTGCCCCCTTCATCATGGAATTAGACCTACTGGGACACCTTATCCCAGGAACAAGCCAAAAAACAGCAACTGGGACATTACTCAAGCAAGCAAACTTGTCCTGGTGATGAGGGATGATCCAGAAGCAGCTTGAAAGAACTGCTCAGATAAGAGGGGATGATGTCCAATCCTGAATGGAGTCACTGATGCTTGCCCTTTCAAAAGTAAATGAATCTGGGAAGGGAGGGTCAAAAGTAAATAGCTCAGCCAGGCACTGATGGCTCATGGTTGTAATCCTAGCTACTAAGGAGGCTGAGAACTGATGATCACCACGGTTTAAAGCCAGCCCAGGCAGGAAAGTCCGTGAGACTCTTATCTCCAATAAACCACTAGAAAATGAGAAGTGGCACGGTGGCTCAAGCAGTACAGCACTGGTCTTGAGCTGAAGAGCTGAGGGACAGTGCCCAGGCCCACAGTTCAAGCCCCATGACAGACCAAGAAAGAGAGAAAGAGAGAGAGAGAGAGAATAGCTCATAAGCGTGCCTATTTAATGCCCATACCTGTCTACTACCTTCCAGCTGGGCAACTTGGAACCCACCAAACCCCCTTCCCTTTTCTCCCCAACCCTACAATGACCCCCATGTCAACAGGAAGTAGCCAGAAAGGACTGTGAAGCCCCTCAACCTTTTATATCCCTTCAGGGTCTCAAATGATGGGAATCTGCATTGTTCTCATAATCCAAGGCTGCCTTGATAACTTACTTGACCCCTCTCCCCCAGAGCCATTCTCAGAAGTCCCAGCCTCCAAGCAATTCTCCAAAAAAGGCCCTACCCAAAACTATGCATTGCCCAGGCAATGCCTGATTTGACTTCCTAGTCTGACTATACCTAAACTCTGCACCCCTGCCCTCTCCCACTTTCTGAGCTCCTTGGTACCTGGCACCTCTCTTCATGGTCTGAGATAAGTACATACAAGAAGAAAATAAAAGACCAAATTGGTGATGGCAAACATCTGGCTTGTGGAGAAGTATAAGACCCTTAAAATCCTAATGCTTCTCAAATGCTTCTTGTGAACTTGCTCCCAGCCATCTGTCTGTACTAATAATTTTGTTTTTTCGTTTTTTTGGGTCCGGTCGTGGGGCCTGAACTCTGGGCCTGGGTGCTGTCCCTCAGCTCTTCAGCTCAAGGCGAGCACTCTACCACTTGAGCCACAGTGCCACTTCCGGCTTTTTTCTTTTTGCTTATGTGGTGCTGAGGAATCGAACCCAGGGCCTCAGGCATGCAAGGCAAGCGCTCTACCACTAAGCCACCTTCCCAGCCTGGTACTAATAATTTTGTATGCCCATAAATGATGGTACAGATATCTAAATAGACCTTAGCAAAAGGTAAGGAAAGCAATTTTTTTTTTGAAGAAAATTACCCTACCAAGACAAGCCCCAAAGGCAGTTTTATCAGAACTGTTGCAGGGTTGCAGGTTAGAGAGCTAACCTAGGTAGCTACCTGCAGAACCACCCAACTGAACCTGTTGTGCAAAAAAAAAATATCTTTTAAATGTTTTCAAAAGCAGATTACAATTCTCACATTTTAAAATTTTTGTTGATATACTAGACTATAATTTTTTGTGTGTGTGTCCGGTCGTGGGGCCTGAACTCTGGGCCTGGGCGCTGTCCCTCAGCTCTTCAGCTCAAGGCTAGCGCTCTACCACTTGAGCCACAGCGCCACTTTCAGCTTTTTTCTTTTTGCTTATGTGATGCTGAGGAATCGAACCCAGGGCCTTGAGCATGCAAGGCAAGTACTCTACCACTGAGCCACCTTCCCAGCCCTAGACTTTATAATTTTTATCTTAAAGCATACAGAAAATTATTTAGATTCTAAATATACAACTAAATACATTTTTACAAACTTCACTTACTCGGTGAAAGTATTTTCTCACAAAATGTTTGTCATTTCTCAAGGTTAGATTTTGGCATATGCTGGTCAAGCACCACTGCCACGTTTTTCTTGGGAGTAATTTCTTCACTCAGGCTTGCTTATTTGTTCAATATGTGTGCTGGGGATAGAACTCAGGACCACCTGCATGATAAGCTAGAGCTCTACTCCTGAGTCACATACACTCCTTGAAGTGTTTTTCATAGGTAAACTTATTAATATTTTCCTTTCTTGCTTAGCAATCTCTAAGATTGTAAAAAAAAAAATTGGCTTGCTTTTACTAGAATCATGTGTAGCCTCGTGTTTTTTCTCTTCCTTCCTTTCTTTTTTTCATCCTGATGGTAGTGCAGATTTGAACTCAAGGCCTTGGTGCTGTTCTTGAGCCTTTTTTTGCTCAAGGCTAGCATTCTACCACTTGACCACACCTCCACTTCACTTATTTATTTATTTATTTATTGTTTAGTGGTTAATTAGAGGTACGAGTCTCACAGACTTTCCTACAGGGTCTGTTTTTGAATGGCGATCCTCAGGTCTCAGCTTCTTTAGTTGCTAGGATTACAGGCATGAGACACTGGCGCCTGGGGTGCCTGGGGCCTCATGGTTTATTTTTAAATATTAAAATACTTAGTACTTCTAAAGTTTATTTTCCTGTAAGAAGGATGGGATTTCCCTTTTCTTCCAGCTGACTAGTACCTTATTTATATCCACACACCAACGTTCTGTGCATTTCTTATATGCAGCACCACTTCCGGCTTTTTCTGCTTATGTGGTGTTGAGAAATCGAACTCAGGGCCTCATGCATGCGAGGCAAGCTCTTACCACTGAGCCACCTTCTCAGCCCTTGATCTTTGACTCTGGGCAGTGTCAGGAGTCAGGTTTATCGATGGCCTCAGGTTTATAAAGGCAGAGCTCGGGTCAGTCTGCACCCTCTGGGGCTCCCCTTCGCTGCGAGTCCCAGTCGGGCAGGCAAGAGACGTCCTTTAAATTATTGCGAGTTTATCTCTCCAGGTTTGTTAGGTCTAGTGAGGAGGAGAAGGGCGTGGCAGGGAGGCGAGGGGAGGGCTGCGACTGTCTTTGTTAGCCAGCCAGTGTATTTTTCCCCCTTCCAGGACTAGTTTCTTTACCTCACCCTAGCACACCAAGCTTCCTTTGAAACGAAATTGGAGAGCATTCCCGCCCACCTCTTCCCAAAGTCCTGTTGTCCATCCTTGTGGATGGGCGGGGATTGGGAGCAGACCCTTGGGATGTCAAGATCTGGGGGCGAAGGGACGCTGAGCTGGAAAGCAGGACCTTCCCGCGGTCCCCGACGCGCCAGGGCAATCTCCTCCGCGCCCACCAGAGGGCTCCGCGTCTCTCGAATTCCCTTCGTGGAGCGGGAGCTCTGCCGCAACCAGCGGGCGAGCCGAGCCGCGGTGCGAGCGCCGAGCCGGGCGGCGGCCCGCGTCCTCCTGGCCCTGCCAGCGGTGCCAGCGATCCCCGGCTTTGTTCTCCGGGCTGAGCTGAGCTACGGAAGATTTTTTTTTGTTTTTCATTCCCTTTTTCCCAGCAGGAAGCATCATGAAACACCCTCCGCGCTAAGGTCTGCAGAGCCCCGATCTGAAGCGGGAGGAGGGGCAGCGGGAGGACCCCCTCCCCAGCCTCCGCAGGCTCCCGCCGGCCCCATGAGGACCCCCAGGCCGGAGCTGGGAGCCCGGCGCGGCCCGGACCGGAGTCGTGCTGTGGCCGTGGAGCGTTAGACCGGTCAGTGTCGCCCCCCGCCCCGCGGGGTGTGCGTGGGGAGCGAGGCCCGAGGTGGAGGCGAGCAGGAGATGCGCTCCGGGTCCCCAGCGCCGCTCCCGCCCAGGCCACCCCAGGGGTATTTCCTACAGGGTGATTCTGCATTTTTCCTGACAGGCAAGGTGTCGAAGCCGCCCCTCCGCAGCCCACCGCGGCCCAGGTGATGATCGCACTGAGGAGCGGGGTGAGGGGTGCGGGGGAGGGGCTGGTGAGGTGCGGGGGGGCCCCGGCGCCCGTGGGGTCGCCCAATGCGTATAAAGCAGTGCTTCCCCCCCCCCCCCATTCGTGCGCCGCTGCATCAGCACCAGCGCGATCCAAATGTCTCTGGGCATAGGGTAAACTGAGGGGGGGGGAGAGGCCGAGGGATTCACAGGGCTGGGGGGTGGGGGGGCACGGAGGTGGGGAGTGCGGAGAGGAGTACCGAGGAAAGCACCCTCAAGGCAAATCCTAGCGCCGAGTGTCCAGTGGACGGTGCCCCTCTCCTCCCCAGAGAGCCCGGCTGGAGCCTCCGAGGTCGCCGAGGTCAAGGGCACCAGCTCTCCCCTTCCCTCTCTCCTCCCCCCTCCCCTTTTCTCACTCGGCACCCTACCCCCTCTCACCCCACCTCTAGGATGCGGCTGGGCCGCCGGGCCCTCTGCGCGCTGGTCCTGCTGCTCGCCTGCGCCTCTCTGGGGCTCCTGTACGTGAGCACCCGAGACGCCCCGGGCCTCCGGACCCCTCTTGCGCTGTGGACGCCCGCACAAAGCCCCCCCAGGCCTGAGCTGCTAGATCTTGCCCCTGAGCCCCGCTACGCACACATCCCGGTCAGGATCAAGGAGCAGGTGGTGGGGTGAGTCGGGCGGCGGCGGCGCGGCGCACCCAGCGCTCGCTGCGCTGCGGGTGCATGGGGCGCTTTTGTCTCCTCCAGCGCTGGGCTCTGGGGGTGCCTGCGGGCTCCGGAATGGTTGAATGGAGCGGAGTGGGTGGTGGAGAAGGGCGGCAGAGGGTTGGGGCTGGAGCAAAGGCTGTCCCTGAGCGTTGTCATGGCGGAAAGCCCCTGGAAGCTTCCCTGCTCTGTCTTCATTCAGACTTGAGATTCTCGAGTGGTTTCCGTGCGGCCTGTAGGTAGCTCCCGAAACCCTCCTGATAATCGAACCTGTATCTTCCATCTCTGTGAAATGCAGATTTGAGGGATCCATTATTTTGGGTCAGGGGACAGGTATTGGAGGGGCAGAGGTGCTGAGCTCACATTGGTTTGTCTTAGGGGACAGTTGTGGTGCTGGGGCCCTGAAGAACTCTTCCCTCCCCCCTTCAGGTTGCTGGCTCAGAACTACTGCAGTTGTGAATCCAGTGGGGGGAGCCTGTTTCTCCCCTTCCAGAAACAGGTACGAGCCTTTGACCTCACCAAGGCTTTTGACCCTGAGGAACTGAAAGCTGCCTTTGCCTCCAGGGAACAGGAGTTTCAAGCCTTCCTTTCAAGGTACCCGTGAGAAAAAAAAGGGTGGGGGCACAAGCCTGCCAGGGGAAGGGAGTAGAGGTGTTGGGATGGCTGTGCCAGGAGAGAGATGTCCCCTTCTGTCCTAACTCCTCTTCTGTGCTCCCCTGCATCCATGACCAGGAGCCAGTCCCCCGCTGACCAGCTGCTCATAGCCCCTGCCAACTCCCCACTACAGTATCCCCTGCAGGGTGTGGAGGTTCCACCACTCAGGAGCATCTTGGTGCCAGGTGAGGAAGCAGGGTCCTAGAGGATGGCCTAGGCCATCATGGGGATGGCAGAGCTAGCCGATGAATGGAAAAGAGGGAAAAGAGGGAAGAGTGGTTTGAGAGGGATGACCTCTGATGAAAGGGTGTGTGGAGTGCATGGGGGGAGATTAGAAGGTGGGAGATAAAAGTGGAAGAAACTCCAGGGTTATCAGGAATTGCAGAAGGTAGAAACTGGGGAGACTGGGGGAGAGAATTTTTTTCTTTGCTGACTGAATAAAAGATAGCTAGCTAATACAGACCATTGAAGAAGAAATGGACTAAAAAATCAGTCACTGTAGTCTATGTTAGGGCAATATGTGGTTGAAGACTGGATAGGAGAAGTAGAGATTTCTGTGTTGTGTGTAGTGAAAGGAGAGATAAAAATCAGGAAGAAAGCCGGGCGCTGGTGGCTCACGCCTGTAATCCTAGCTACTCAGGAGGCTGAGATCGGAGGATCGCGGTTCAAAGCCAGCCCGGGCAGGAGAGACCATGAGACTCCTATCTCCAATAAACCACCAGAAAACCGGAAGTGGCGCTGTAGCTCAAGTGGTAGAGCGCTTGCCTTGAGCTGAAGAGCTGAGGGACAGCGCCCAGGCCCAGAGTTCAAGCCCCATGACCGACAAAAAAAAAAAAAAATCAGGAAGAAGAAATCAGGGCTGTCTTTGTAATCCTGATCCCATTCTTTCTCCCAGGGCTGAGCCTGCAGGCAGCTTCAGGTCAGGAGTTATACCAGGTGAGGGAAAACAAGAGAGGAAAGAGGTTAGGTGGGCCTGGAGAAAGCTGGGAGGGAGACGAGACCACAAGGAAAAGGAATGGGGGAATCGGGAAGGCAAGCTGTGAATTTGTAGCCTGATCTTGTGCTCTCCCATCCCCTGTGCCAGGTGAACCTGTCTGCCTCACTAGGCACCTGGGACGTGGCAGGGGAAGTGGGTGGAGTGACTATCACCGGAGAGGGGCATCCAGATCTCACTCTTGCCAGCTCAGGGTTGGACCAGCTGAACCGACAGCTGCAGCTGGTCACTTACAGCAGCCGGAGCTACCAGGCCAACACAGCAGACACAGGTGCGAGGCCTGGACTGAGGTAGGGACGGGCTGGATGAACCAAAAGAACCCAGAAAAGCTGCAACGGGCAAATGGCAAAGGGCACGGGAGGCAGTTGGGCAATAGGCAGAGCTGCCCAGCCACACAACGGATGTTTCAGTTGGGCCAGAAGGGCCAGGGAGGGAGAAAAGGAGCCTTTGTTCATCCTGGGGCCACAGCAGGCTCGGGGAAACTGGAGCCTTGGGTGTGTCCCCACTTCTGGCCAATCATGGGGGGGAGGGCCCAGGAAATGACCTCATCAGGAGACCGAAGTCTTAAGCTCTATTCCTAATCCACCTCTTGCGACAGAGTAAACAGCCTCACCTTCTTGAATCTTTATTTCTCCTCTGACAAAAAGAACATAGCATAATCCTGAGGCTTCTCTCCAAATGTGGAGTGTTTGCTTCCCCTTAGGGCCTCCCTCTGCTCTAGCAAAGCTCTTACCCTAGATGTTTTGCCTGGCGGCTCCATCTTGTCATTTACATATGAACTCAAATCTCTTCTCTTAACCATTACATTACTTGCTTTAATCTTTCAATGACTCTCACCTACTCTTGAATTTCCTTATTTACTTAGCCTGAGAGCAGGTTCCTCTAAGCATTGTTTGATGCTGGGTAAATATGGGCAAGTTCCTTTTCTGTACCTTCCACTTCATTTTCTCTAGTAGAAATGTGATGGGGGCTATCATCAGGAGTGAATGAATTCCAAAATTGTCTAGCCCATAGTAAATGCTCATTATAAGTTAGCTCTTCATGGACTTCTATTCCACAGTTAAGACTGTACTGTACATTCCATGGGCATAAGAACCTTGTATTCATGTCCACTTCGGCTTACAAAGGTGGAACACAGAGCAGGCACTTACTGATTGATCAAAAAGAGTGCTGTTCCACCCTTGAAGGCACAACCCCATGTCCTGTATTCCCAGTTCGGTTCTCCACCGCGGGACATGAGGCTGCCTTCACCATCCGCATAAGACATCCCCCAAACCCTCGGCTGTACCCGTCTGGGTCTCCACCCCAGGGAGGTGAGGCGGTGAGGATGGAAAGTAGCCCTGGAGGAGGGAGGAATGAGTGGGCGGCCCTGGGGGTGAAGCGGGGGAGATGTCTTCCTGTTTCTCTTTTCCCACTCTCCTCCCCCCACCCCCCACCTACATCCTGCGCCTCACTTCAGCCCAGTACAACATCAGTGCTCTGGTCACTATTGCCACCAAGACCTTCCTTCGCTATGATCGTCTCCGTGCACTCATCGCCAGCATTCGCCGCTTCTACCCCACCGTCACCGTGGTCATCGCCGACGACAGCGACAAGCCGGAGCGCGTCAGCGGCCCCCATGTAGAACACTATCTCATGCCCTTCGGCAAGGTGCGCAGACAGCCAGGCTGAGCTGGGCGCTCGGGGACTCGGGGCGGAGGGGTATGTCCTTAATCCTCGCCACCAGCGCGATCTGTTTCAAAACCCATCCTTGGAAAGCACTCAGAGACCCAGAGGGGGTCCACGGTTCTTGCAAGAGGAGTCCGAGAAGAGGAAGGCGGCATTCACAGCCTCCCCTCCCCGCCTGGCCCTTTCCCCCCCCAGGGCTGGTTCGCCGGGAGGAACCTGGCAGTGTCTCAAGTCACTACCAAATACGTGCTGTGGGTGGACGACGACTTCATCTTCACGGCGCGCACGCGGCTGGAGAGGCTGGTGGATGTGCTGGAGCGGACGCCGCTGGACCTGGTAGGGAGGCCCACGAGTGTGGGCTGGAGGAAGGGCCTTGAACGACCGGCTCAAGCCAAAGACCAGAGCTGCAATCCGGACTCGGAAAGACCACGCGAGGAGACGGGGGCGGGGTGGGGTGGGAGGGGCTGTCTGGATCCTGGGGGGGGGGGACGCGCAATGGGGCCTGGAACCAGCGGAGGCGCAGGGAGCACTGTGGACCCTCTTAGGGTCCTCAGGCTCCACCTGGAACCCCGTCCCCTTCCCCTTCCCTGCAGGTGGGAGGCGCCGTGCGCGAGATCTCCGGCTTCGCCACCACTTACCGGCAGCTGCTGAGCGTGGAGCCCGGCGCCCCAGGCCTCGGGAATTGTTTCCGGCAAAAGCGCGGCTTCCACCACGAGCTGGTGGGCTTCCCAGGCTGCGTGGTTACCGACGGCGTGGTTAACTTCTTCCTGGCACGCACCGATAAAGTGCGCGAGGTGGGCTTCGACCCGCGCCTCAGCCGAGTGGCACACCTGGGTGAGTGGCGCCCTCTCCCGGCCGGGCCTGGAAGGGCACCCCCGCCGCAGCGCCGTGCTAGACACAGTGCAGACGGGCCCGGACGGCACGCGCCCCTCCTGCTTGCCCTCGGTCACTGCCACCTGCACCCCCAAGGCAGTTCTGCACGGTAGGCGAGGGAGAGACAGAAATTCACCTTGTCCTAACCAACATACCAACTTTTTTTTTTTTGGTGAGGGTCCTAGGGCTTGAACTCAGGGCCTGGGTACTGTCCTTGTGTTCTGATTTTTCTCGAGGCTGGTGCTCTACTACTTGAGCCACAGAGTCACTTCTGGCCTAATTTCTAAGTATTTATTGGAGACAAGAGTCTCACGGGCTTTCCCGCCCAGGCTGGCTTCAAACCCCAATCTTAAGATCTCAGCCTCCTGAGTAGCTAGGATTACAGACATGAGCCACCAACATGCCTTTTAAAACCAAGGGCCAGCATCGTGGCTGAAGCAGCCCTGAACTTCAGAGTCAGTGTTATACCACAACCACCCCTCCTCCACTCCCAGCGGCTTCCCCTGATTAAGATGACCACCCCCAGAGGGCCCCATACAGCATGTTTTGCACCTTTGAGAGTGGGAAGTAGTTCGTTTTTTAAAATTAGTATTATTTTTGAAGCAGATGCCATTCTCCACAAGAGTACAGCTGAGAGAGGGAATGGGGTTAATTCAGGTGCCAACATTCTTAGGAATGGTGTCTTTCGCTGGGTGCTGGTGGCTCACACCTGTAATCCTAGCTACTCAGGAGGCTGAGATCTGAGGATTGCAGTTCAAAGCCAGCCAGGGCAGGAAAAGTCTGTGAGACTCTTATCTCCAATAAAACACCAGAAAACCAGAAATGGCACTGTGGCTCAAGTGGTAGAGTGCTTGCCTTGAGCTGAAGAGCTGAGGGGCAGTGCACGGGTCTAGAGTTCAAGCCTCATAACCAACCAAAAAAAAGAAAGAAAGAAATGGTGTCTTTCTTTGCATAGGCACCCCCTATACCCTCATTCAGTTCTCCCTTGAGGCTTGCTGGCCTATTCTTCACTGCAGGTTCTCTCTACCCCTAGAATTCTTCCTGGATGGCCTTGGTTCCCTTCGGGTTGGCTCTTGTTCCAACGTCATTGTGGATCATGCATCAAAGTTGAAGCTGCCCTGGGTGTCAAGGGATGCTGGAGCAGAGACTTATGCCCGCTACCGGTACCCAGGATCGCTGGATGAAAGTCAGGTGGCCAAACACCGCCTGCTCTTCTTCAAACACCGGCTGCAGTGCATGACTGCTGAATGACAGCCACTTGGGGCCTTCCCCTTTTCAGGCTGGACCTGCTTCCTCATCCCTGCCAGGAAAATTTCCAGCAAACCTCTCCACCCTGCGAGCACGCCACGATTTCCCCTCCCCTTCAGAACCTGATTCCAAGTAGGGGCTTGTCCTGGTGACACCTCTCCTTTTCTGTAAGTGCCCAGGGGCCTGATGGAGCCATAACCTCTTCCACAGCCAGTGCCAAGTTCTCCCCCCCCCACACCCCATTCTATGGGGCAGGAAGTGAGGGGTTCACTTTCCAAGTGCCAAAGAGCCCAGGAGGACTCTAAGACCCTGAAGTGAAAAACATGCTCCTCTCATCTCCTTGGATCTGGGGGTGGTGGGGGAGCTCCCAATGTGCAATCCCAGGGCCTTGTACCCCGTCCCCAGCTCTGGATCCAATACTTTGTGCACCAGCTCCAGCCCTCCCCTTCCCAGAGAGCACTGTGACTCTGGAGCTCCAAGGGGCTGGTGAACACATGGTGAAAGCCACTTGTACTTGTGTCTCTGAGGTGCTGTGGGTAGGTGGGTGGGTGGGGGCATTGGGATTTCCCATGTAGACATCCAGACCCACCTCATGGACCCCAGAGGTGTTCCATTTTTGTTTATTGGTGATGTTAAATATAAGGCTCAGGGACCACAGCCCTCCTCTCACATACATTGCCGGGGCAATCCACACTGACATGATTCAGTCAGACCCACACTGTGCAAATCTTTTGGCCAGTGAGCTCCTGGAGAAGAAGGAAGATAAGTCAGGAATACATTTAGGACCCTTTCCATCACCAATAATTAATCAGGGCTTTGTGGCACACCACCCCTTTGGGACCTTAGTTCTTCAATTCTTTACCCACAGCTTGGCCAGTCTCCTTGACTTGGTCCTAAATCCACTAATCACCTCCTCTTTATTCTTTCCTCCCCCCGCCCCAGTATTAGGGCTTAAACTCAGGGCTCCTGCTTAGCTTTCTTTTTCTTTCTCTCTCTCTCTCTCTCTCTCTCTCTCTTTCTTCTTTCTTTTTTTTGCCTGTCCTGGAGCTTGAACTCTGGGCCTGGGTGCTGTCCTTGAGCTTCTTTTGCTCAAGGCAAGCACTCTATCACTTGAGCCACAGTGCTACCCTGAGTAATTTGTTTGAGATAAGAATCTCACAGACTTTTTTGCCTGGGATAGCTTCCAACTGCAATCTTCAGCTCTCAGCCTCCTGAGTAGCTAGGATTACAGGCATGAGCCACCACCACACCGCATTGCTTAGCTTTTTCACTCAAGGATGACACTCTTCCACTTGAGCCACATCTCTACTTCTGGCTTTTTGCTGGTTAATTAGAGATAAGAGTCTCACAGACCTTTCTGCCCAGGCTGGCTTTGAACCATGATCCTCAGATCTCAGTCTCCAGAGTAGCTAGGATTACAGTGGTAGGCCACTGGCACTAGTTCCTTTTTAAATTTAATTTCTTTTTTTTGTGCCAGTCCTACAGCTTGAACTCAGGGCCTAGGCACTGTCTGTGAGCTTTTGTGCTCAAGGCTAGCATTCTACCACTTGAGCCACACCTCTACTTCTAGTTTGTTGGCGCTTAATTGAAGATAAGAGTCTCGTGGATTTCTTCCCAAGCTGGCTTCAAACCAAGAACCTCAGATCTCAGCCTCCTACGTAGCTGGTGCCCAGCTACTCCTTCCTTCTGAACCCTTCTCCTTCTCCTTTTCCTAAAACCTCCTCATCCACTTTTCTCTTACCCTAGCTCAACACCTCCTCGTTCCCACTCCTGACACTTGTCTCTTACCAGTCTCTCCAGGGCATGTGCAGCGGCATCCTGCACACTCACAAAGATTTGTTCTGGGGTCATTCTATTCAGAAGTCCTGCCCGGGTCAGCGTCTCCAACACTGAGGCTGTCAAGGGAGGGTATCAGCCTCTGGGGCCAAAATCCATAGTGTATTCCTCTCCCTTCCCCAAGTATTCAAATCATGTCACCAGCCCGTCCATCCTTCTTCCCACTCACCATTACATTGAGCCAGGAGAAGGTGGATCCCAGCATCTTGGCATCGACTGGCGAGCTGCAAGGACAGAGCAGACAGGTGAACTCTCAAATCAAAGGGGAGGAATGGGATAATGGCTTTTTCCCCTAGCCTACCCACAACCTCACCTGTGCCACTTCTCTGGCTCCAGCAGCATCTGCAAAGGTGACACCACTGAAGTCTAGGACCACCACTCTGACAGGGTCAGCAACTAAGATGGGAGAAAGCAGGAGATTCTTCCTGTGTCCGTGCATCATGTCCAGATCTCCATCCCACCTTGCCATCCCATCTCACCCGTATCAGATGGGCCATCTGGCTTTGGAGAGTCCTATAAGTAGAGAAAGGGGGGTCACCTCCCTCAAGACACAGGTGTGGACATGAGCCCCTTGGGCAAAGATCTGCTGCAGAACATACACCAGCCTTCAAAACCCAGAGCACCCACACTCCTCTGTGATCAAAGCCTTCACCTTGCCCTGTCCTCCAAGCCTCAGATGCCATTCCAGGAGGTGTCGAAATTGCCCTCGGGTCCCAAAGTAGAGTGGTGTTGGATAGCTCAAGATGCAGAGACCTGGGACCTGCCGGAGCTAAAGGGTGAAAGGATCAGAGAAGCACCCCAGCCTAATTTCCCTTTCTTCTTTGGCTCAAACCTACCCACCTTGTGACTCTCTCTGAGTGGTCTGTAGAGTTCAGTCCCCTCAGCCAGTCCAAGTGTCAAACACTGCACCCTGGAGAAGGAGCTGGGGTCAGATTCCCAACTGTGCCTGGCCTAGCTAGAAAGTCACCCAACTGCGACATCTTACCCTTTCCCTTCCTCTCAACTCTGCTCATCTGTATACCTACCTCTGGGTACGGCAGACCACAGTCATCATGGAGAAGACCACGCCCACAGCCAAGCCCAGGTCCACGTTCAGGGTCACTACAGCTACCCATGTGACCACCCACACGGCCTGCAGGATGTGGATTGGTGTGGACTTCCCAGAGGAAAGACTGGGATCCAAGGGCAGTGACTACCAGGGCAAGTGATAGGAAGGGATGGTCCAGGAGAAATTAGCAAGTATGATAGAAGGAAGGGACAGGGTTGACTCAATGGGATACACAGGAAATGTAGTACCTTCCGACCATGTACCAGATGGGAGATTACAAATACTCAAGTCTGAGTTGGGGAGCTTAGTGGTGAGGCACTTGCCTAATATTCATGAGGCCCTGGGTTCAATCCTCCCACAAAGGCTTTAAACATGTATTCGGGTATGAGGGGTTCACCTCACCCTTCCCCTTGTCTCTGACAAATGTAAGAGATAAGAAGAATTGAAGAATTTAGAACTAAGACTATAGTTTAGGCCCAGGACAAGGCTGGGAATGCTGGGACGCTAGCTAGATAAGGCCAATTGGGGAATTATGTTTGTTTTTCTCACAAAGTCCATGCGGCTGATATGCCATAGCTGAGGAAGTTCCTGCATCTGGAAGAACATCTGGCGCATGCTGGAGATGTTGATGCAAGCCAGGACAGCCTTGGGGCAGAGGAGATGGGCTCATTACCCCCAAGGTCCTGGAAGACAGCCACACTTCCTCTGGTATTCCCACACCTCCTCTGCTCCTTACCTTGGGCAGATAGTAAAAGAAGGGCCCCAGCCACAGGAGCACCGACAAGACCACCATGCAGGAGAAGAGGCCTGCAAGCTGAAGGCAAGGAGGGACAAGAAAGGGAGGAAGGAAACCTCCTCCACCCCCAATCCTGCAGGAGAGCCTGTCCCCTACACCCTCTGCCTCGTCTCAGGAAATCTCCCTCCTTCCCCACAGATAGCCCTGACTTTATCCCTCTCCTTCCTCCAGTTAAATGATGACTATTCTATTCGTCACTCTTCCCCAGTTGTATGCAGCTCAAGTAGCTCAAGTTCTCATGTGTGAGTGTGTGTGTGTGAGTGTGTGTGTGTGTGTGTGTGCATGCGTGCCAGTTTTAAGGCTTAAATTCAGGGTCCTGGGTGCTGTCCCTAAGCTTTTTTTGCTCAAAGCTAGTGCTCTACCACTTGAGCCTCACTTCCACTTTTGGCTTTTTTCTTTTTTCTTTTTTGATGATTGAGATAAGAGTCTTGTGGACTTTGCTACCTGGACTGGCTTTGAACCCTGATTCTCAGATCTCAGACTCCAGAATAGCTAGGATTATAGACATGAGCCACTGGGGTCTGGCTTAAGTTCTTTAGTTTTGTAATGAACTTCCATTTTAAAAGCCATACTTGGCTCACCCTACAAGCAGGCTAATTACCTGTTTAGAGTACCAGCAAAGGAAAGAACACAAAAAATATTGAGACTGTTAAATAATGTTTCTTTAAAAACAAAACAAAACAAAAAACAGGGCTGGGAAGTTGGCTCAGTGGCAGAGTGCTTGGCTCGCATGCATGAGACCCTGGGTTCAATTCCTCAGCACCACATAAGCAGAAAAAAGCCGGAAGTGGCACTGTAGCTCAAGTGGTAGGGTGCTAGCCTTGAGCTGAAGAGCTGAGGGACAGCGCCCAGGCCCTGAGCCCCCACAACCAACCAAAAAACAAAAACAAAAAAACAGCCTGTAATCCTAGCTACTCGGCTGAGATCTGAGGACTGTGGTTCAAAGCCAGCCCGGACATGAAAGTCTGTGAGACTCTGATCTCCAGTTAACCACCAGAAAACCACAAAACCAGAAGTGGCTCTGTGGCTCAAGAGCTAAAGCACTCGCCTTGAGCTGAAGAGCTCAGGGACAGTTCCCAGGCCCAGAGTTCAAACCCCATGACCAACCAAAAAGAAGAAAGAAAGAAAGAAAGAGAGAGAGAGAGAGAGAGAAAGGAAGAAAGAAAGAGAAAGGAAAGAAAGGAAGGAAGGAAGGAAGGAAAAAAAACATGAAAAAAAACCCCAGAATTTTACCTCTTAAATGTATAGTTTCAAACGCTTTTTATCTCCAATGACATCTGAGGCAACATAATCTTTTTCAGGCTTAGTGCCTGCAAAAGTCTTCAGGGATCCTTGGTGTCTTCTCTCTCTCCTCTCCTTCATGCCCTCACTCATTCCCCCTCACATTCCCACCCTCCTCTAGACTGATGCCACCAGGGTATTTGCCAACTCTCCATCTGTTTCTTCACCCCCACCACCTGGCCTCAGTGTCCCATCCTTTCTCCTCACCTGTGTGTTACCACCAGCATCCACTAGTAGGCTGGTCGTAGCCAGTGTGGCTGAGTTAGGAAAGCAAGAGAAGAGGGAGGAAACAAGGTTGGAGACACCATGGGCCAAGAGTTCCTGGAGGAATGCAGTGAGTAGAAGAGGAATGAGACACAGGCACGGGGGAGTGTGGTTACGGGATTATCTTCTGAATGAGGCTGGGGATGGGCTGTCCACAGTCATAGTCTTACCTGGTTTGGATCAATCGTGTAGTTATACTTGTCTGCATAGATGGAGGCCAGAGAGGTGGACACAGCAAAAGTAACCAGTGCTATGGGCAGAGAGTCAGCC